GCCCTTCATGAATGTGGACACGGGGGACCTTGGAAGATTTCCTCCATGAACAATTGATGAGGCACCCTCTTGTGGTTGGACACGTAAACAAGTTAAGAGCCTGGGGGCTTCAGCTGAGCACTGTTGTCAGGCGCCTAAAGTATTGATTACCCAGAATGAGCTATGTCTCTTCCATGCCATCAAATGCTGATCTGGGTAATGGTTAGGAATTATGATCCATTCTCCGAAGCTAAGGAATGGTGTCAGAGTTTCAGAGTCTGATGTTGGAGAGCATCTAGGCCAACCATCTCCTTTTACAGATGGGCAAACTGAGTCCCGGAGTGGTTCAGGATCACACAGGTAGAAAGTAGCAGTAGCATGAACCCAGTTCCGTCCTCTCCTTCCACTTGCCTACACCTGTGTGAAAATACTTAGTTAAAAAAAAAAACCTCCCTTCTTCCCCTCCATTCGGAACCTTGTAACAAAGAATAAAAAAGGCAGTTCAGTAAAACTAACTGACAATTGATAAACAAAGCTCTTTGACAGCACACAAGTCACATAGCCAGAAAGTGCTGGAGGCAGGATTTGACACAGAGCCAAGCACATAATAAGAACTTAATTAATCCTGGACCTGGGGTAAAGAAGACCTCAATTTAGATACAGTCTCAGATGTTTACCCACTATGTGACCCTGGGTGAGTCAACTGGATCTGTTTGCCTCAGTTTCCTCCTCTATAAAGTGGGGATAAAAATAGCACCTTCTCTGAAGGGTTGTGGGCAGGATCAGATGAGATAATAATGTAAAGCGCCTGGCAAACCTTAAGGCTCTATATTCAAAATCAAGCCATTATTATGATCATTAATAGTATATTAGTGTTAATACATAATTAACACAACAATATTATCAATATTATTGTTGTTCTTTTAAAATTGATTGAAACCACATCTTACTCATTCTTAGCCCCGGGTATCTCCACATAGATGCTGAGCAACATATATGATGAAAAAGGCTTTCAACTGAATAATTCATTTTTCTATCTCTGTATCCCAAGCATCCCGCACGGCGTCTGGCATTATAATAGGTACTGAATAGCTTATCGACTGATTAATTGTATGCATGTTCCAAACCCAGAATCCCTGTGTTCTGCAAAGAAGGGAGGGATGTGTATTTTCTCATCCTTTGGAGAAGGGAGGCAATGGGAGAGTGAAGCTTGGTCATATAAAATTTCATAGCATTCATGAAAGTACACTTTAAAGAAATGACACTGAGAGGGAAGCAGAGCCAAAAGTGAACAAGATCCCCAGTGTCAGGCACAACTAATAAGCTAACACGTGCCCTGTGCTTGGCACATAGCAGGCATCTGATAAGTGCTTGTAGGTTGAATAAACAACACTGAGGTTGAACCAAATTGGGACCAAGTGATGAATGTCTTCCTCAAAAAATGGCGACCTGTGGAAGGAGAAGGTCTCACACATGGTCTGTGGACAGTCACTCCTTAGCTGCTTTTTTTTTCCCCCAATCTTTGTTTTGGAGAAAATTGGGATTAAGTGATTTGCCCAGAGTCACATAGCTAGCAAGTGTCTGAGGCTGGATCTGAAATCAGGTTCTTCCTGACTCTGGAACCAGTGCTCTATCCACTCGTGTAGCCACTTTCGCTTCACTCTTTTGGGGGAATGTGAGTGGTGGGGTACTGATTGTGTATGTGTGCGGCCAAAAGAAAATAGCCCAGTGCCTGGCACATGTGCTTAACAAATCCTTGTTGAATAACAAAAATCTATCAAGGAGATGTAAATTCATTTTAATGATCACGTCTATTAATACAGCTTATGACAGTAATAAGAAGAGCTAAGATTTATGTGGCACTTCAGGATTACGGAGCCTTTACAGGTTTTCCCATCTGATCCTCACAACAGCCTGGTGAGGAGTGCTCACTTTATGCCATTCTCATCTGCCATTTTGCAGGTGAGAAAACTGAGACTGGGAGTGCTAGCTTAAGTGAATTGCCTGGAGTCACACAACTAGCAGCTGAACTGAGCCAACCCCGAGTATGAGCCTTACCTCCTGGCAGCTCCCATAGGGCCACAGAACTCAGGATGTTTGTCCCGATTTCACTCTAGGCTGACTTCCCTCAGAACTTAAGAAGCGTCCAGCATGATGCAATCTGGGACACTCCTGGCCCCTGCTGCCGTCCCTCTCAGACAAAGGCCTCCATTGACATCACCAGCCTCCCAAGGGGACGCTGCCATGTCACGAGCGGCTCCTGAGCTGCTCAGGCTGAAAGTTTTCCCTGCAGAGAACAGGAGTGACGCTGGAGACACAGGGTCAGTGTTTCTTACCAACCTCTTGCTGGGGCGCAGACCAGGAATTTCTAGGTTGCTGTGCTCACTCCCCTGGGAAATCCAGATTTTTGGCCTTAAGAATCTGGCACAGGATGGATTACTTTATTTAAAAACAACAAGCCCAAAAACAACACGGCCAGAAGTGATCATTTATGTATTCCCTTCCATGCTCCTCCTTGGCTGGGATAAAATTTGGAACGAGTCTAAGTTTTCAAAGAGGCTGCTGCAGGGAAGGGATAGCCCTTGTCTTCAGCATTTGGAGATGCCTTTTCTTTGCAGAGGTAATAGACTCTAGGTGTAGAGTACCATATAGACCGTCAATTAACAGGCCAATCAGTTTTGCTGTACCGATTCCCCCCTTTCCTTGTACTGAGACTAGAGACTTTCTGGGTAGTGCGAGAAGGCATTCCATTTGAAAATGGAGGTGATGTAGAGAGAAAAGCTAAAGTTTTGGGGGGGGGGTTGTGTTTGAAGGCTTATTGATAAGGCAGTGATGACAATAATGGGGGTTACAGATTCAGATTCCGTCTGGTTTATGTTTTTGATCCCTTTGTCAACCAACTTGGTAGAAGACAGTCTGGGAGCAAGGTGAAGAATTCCCCAAATAGTAGGCAGGCCTGGCAAGGACTGGCCTTCTAGAGCAGGGATTTTCAGCCTTTTCTGGGTCATGGAGCCCTTTGGCAGTCTCATGAAGGCTATGGAACCTTGCTCAGAACCATGGTTTTAAATAATGGAAGGAAATGTGAAATTCAGTTCTAAGTTAGTGAAAATGAAGGTGTAATTCCCCCTCCCCTCCCCATTCAAGGCCTCCTGTCTATGGCCTGAGGTTAAGAACTTCTTTTCTAGAACTTGCTCTGGATAGAAGCTGTGGAAGCAGCTTGCAGGCTGGGAATCGGTTTCCATATTTGTAAAGTGAAATTGTTGGCCTAGATATGTGATCCCAAAAAGTGCCTTCCATTTCTTTTCTTTTTTTCAGTGTGGCAATTGGGGTTAAGTGACTTGCCCAGAGTCACACAGCCAGGAAGGGGCAGATTTGAACTCTGGTCCTCCTGACTCCAGGGCTGGTGCTCTATCCACTGCGCCACCTAGCTGCCCCTACCTTTCATTTCTTAAGCTAGGTTTAAGCTTCTGCTCTATCACTTACTATTCTTTGTGGCCTTGGGTTAGTCACTGTAACTGCTCTATACCTCAGTATCCTCATCTGTCAAAACAAAGACCTTTAATAACCTTCCTTCCTTTCCACACAGTGTGGATATGAGGCTCCTAGGAGTTGTGTGTGAAAGAGCCTTGTAAAGAAGGCAGCAGTACAGAAGGAGCTTGGTGGCCCAGGAGACAGAGTGCCAGTCCTGGAGGCAGGAAGACCAGAGTTCAAATCTGACCTCAGACACTTCCTAGCTGGGTGACCCTGGGGAAGTCACTTCATCCTGTTTGCCTCAGTTTTCCTCATCTGTGAAATGCACAGAAGGAAATGGCAAACACTCCAGTATCCAAGAAAACTGTAAAGGGGGTCACAAAGAGTCAGACGCAACTGAACAACAAAACAATAGAAACACAAGGGAATTTTCTTTTTAAAAGCAACACACTTGTTTCAATAAGTTTACCTCTTTTGAAAAAGTATGAGGTTTTGACCCACAGGCCTTTGCCTTTTACCCCCACTCCTTTGAAATGACTGTGTAGTTATGTTGTCTTTATTCTGTATGTAAGGATCTGGATTCATGCTTTATGCCTCCAATAGAATATGAACCCTTGGAGGGCAGAGGGATTATGCCATTTTGGGCTTGGCATCCTTAGCAAATAGTTATTAAATGCTTCTTGAACTGAATTAGTCTGGGGGAAGATACGTTTGGTCAGATGTTTCTCAGGAAGGTTAACTACTTGGTTTTCCCAAAGGAATGGAAGCCCCTTGAGGTCAGAGACTGTTTTTCATTTTTGCCTTTATATGCACAATACCAGGTAGGCACATATAAATGCAATTCAACTCAATTCAAGAAGGATTTACTAAAAGTTTCTGAGTGAATGAATGAATAAGCTGCTTTTTTTCTTTTCAGAGAGGCAATCAGGGTTAAGTGACTTGCCCAGGGTCACATACCTAGTGTCATGTGTCTGAGGTCAGATTTGAACTCAGGTCCTTCTGACTCCAAGGTCAGAGCTCTATCCACTACACCACCTAGCTGCCCCATGAATAAGCACTTAAGTGCCTTCTGTGAATGAATAAAATGTATTATGTGCTTTCTTAATGAATAAAACAAATATTAAGTCTCTTTTTGGTATGAGGCACCTGCTAGGTGCACAACAGAATTTCAACCAACTCCCTGGGATTCTTTTAGAGGTATTAAACATGACTGCATTTTGCTTTAAACCGAGGGGCAGCTAGGTGGTGCAGTGGCAAGAGCTCCAGCCTTGGAGTCAAGAGGACCTGAGTTCAAACCCTGCCTCAGATACTGGACACTTACTAGCTGTGTGACCCTGGGCAAGTCACTTAACCCCAATTGCAGGCAGAAAGAAAGAAAGAAAGAAAGAAAGAAAGAAAGAAAGAAAGAAAGAAAGAAAGAAAGAAAGAAAGAAAGAAAGAAAGAAAGAAAGAAAGAAAGAAAGAAAGAAAGAAAACCAAACAAATAAATATGCAACGAGGTAATTTCTGCAGAAAGAAATGGAGGTGAACGTGTCATGTTTGTGTTATAGAGTCCGAACGGATTGCTGCTGACGCCGAGCCCGCTGCTGTCCAGCATTCACTTCTGGAGCAGCCTGAGCCCGGTGGCCCCGCTGAGTTCTGCCCAGCTGCAAGGACCCAACACTTTGTTTCAGGTGAGCTTGGGACATGAACGTGCCTACTGATAGATAGGGAGGATTAGATCATCCCACAGGAAGGGGCTCTTAAGGTAAGGTCTGGGAACTTCAAAAAATATATATTTTAATGCCTATATCTTGATACAAATGCATAAGTAGATGCTGCTTTGTGATCCTGTGTATTTCATTTTATGTGCATTTAAAAAGTGACCCTCCCAGACTTGTCCAGTCTGCCCAAGGGATCCATGTGCCCCAAAGGCCCAGAACCTCTGATCTTTAAGGTCAGAGGGGAAAAAAAAAAGAATACTGAACAAAATCCCTACGTTTATAGAAATGGTATCCTTGTAATTTGTAACTACACTGAGAAGAAACATGCACATAAAACATCTTGATGCAGCGGAACCAGTGCTGATTCTAGCGTTCTAGACTGAAATCTTGCTGCTGACGCTATTTGTGTGACCTTTGACAAGCTGCTTCATCTCTCCCAACCTCAGTTTTCCTTATTTATAAAATGAAAGGGAGGTGGGGAGACCAGACCAGAGACTTTTACCCTGGGGTCCAGGAAGTTGGTGATAGATAGATAGATAGATAGATAGATAGATAGATAGATAGATAGATGATAGATGGGTGGATGGATGGATGGATGGATGGATGGGATGGATGGATGGATGGATAGACGGGTGGATAGATAGACAGATAAGATGGGTGGTTAGATAGATGGGTGGATAGATGGGTAGATAGATAGATAGAGGGGTGGAGAGATGGATGGATGGATGGATAGATAGATAGGTAGATAGATAGATAGACGGGTGGATAGACAGACAGACATAGACAGAGATAAACTGCATTTTACCATAATTGGTTTGCCTTGTAATTGTTCAGTAGGCAAGTCTACCACGTGTCGCATTCTGTGCCAAGGCTGGGGAATACAAAGCCAGGTAAAAGACAGTCCTCGTTCTCCAGGAGCATGCAGCCTAGCTGGGGAGACAGCTTGCAAGTGTAACCTGGAGATGTGCATTAAAAATGTGATTCTGAGGAGGGGTGTGTGAGCTTCACCAGATGAGGGCCACAGGGTCCCTTCCCACTCTGCATCTGTGATGCCATGATCATGTCCTTCCAGCCCCCTCATTCTGCGTTTGAAGAAACAAAGGCTTCGAGAGGTTACTTTGCATGGCTCAAGCCACACAGGGGTGTCAGAACTGCGGTGCCTCCCCAAGACTATTATGCCCCTAATAGATGCCGGGCTCAGGGGATACAAAAAAATGGCACAAGACAGTCCCTGCTCTCACACAGCTCACAGTCTGATGGGGGAGACAACATGTATGTACAAGCAACATATAGATACTTCACTGGAGGAGGGCACTGGTTTTAGGGGGAACCGGGAAAGGTAGAGGTGGGATTTTAGCTGGGCCTTGGAGGAGTGATAGAGTACCTTGTTTGGGAACCAGCAAAGAGACCAGTTTTGCTGAATCATAGACTATCTAGAAGGGAGAAGACTGGAAAGGTAGCAGAGGACCATGTTAAGCAGACCTTTGAATGCCAGAGCATTTTATATTTGATCCTCAAGATGACAGGGAACCATTCGAGTTCATTTGACTAGGGAGGTGACATGGTCTTTGGGAAGATCACTTGGGCAGCCAAGTGGAGGACAGATTGGAGTGGGGAGAAATTTGAGGGGAAAGAAAACAAATTCCATTTTGGACATCGTTTTAGGTGTCTATAGGGAGTCAGAGGTGATGTCTGAACTCAGGTCCTGACTCCAAGTCCAGGGCTCAAGTCTTGCCTTCCAAAGTATCAGCAGTGAGATCTGAACTCGTACCTTTGCAGTTTCCTAGGCCTGTTTGCTTCTCCACCACCCCTCCCTGTATAGGATGGGGCATCTCTTCAGACTGTCATCAGAACAGGGCTTGTTGCATTTTGCTTTCCAACATCACAAGGCCTCTTCTTTGGATGGGTCTTCTGGCTCTATGGGCTAGCCAGCACACTGGCACACCATATTAGGGGATTCAGGATTACTGTGGATTTTTCGGATCTGCCCAGGCTGTGGGATGATACCGTTCCTCTTTCACACAGCCCTCAAGACCAGGTTTGGAGGAAAGTTTCCTGGTACTTAGGATATTTTAAGGCCACACCCAAGAAAGGTTAAGAGCTTTTTGATTTTAAGTCCCAGACTTAGGACTTTGCCATCTTATTATCCCAGCTGACTGGATTTGATCATCTTTGTCAGGATAAGTAGGGGGACAGCTGGGCTTTGGTTGGGTAGGGATGTGCCTGGTAAGGCTCAGGTGGATTATCTTGCTTGTGACATTAAGCATCTTCAGCCATCTGCCCCTTGTGCCACGTGAGACACTGTTCAAGTCTAAGAAAGCTGACTTTTTTTTAAAAGCAAGGAGTCTTATTTGAGCCCTGTTCTTGAGAAGTTACTAACCTGCATTGGTAAAGGGGATTCCCTCAAGTGGGAGTTCTGCATGCCAATTATAGGTCAGGTCTAGCCTCTACTCCGGCAAAGGCAAGATTTCATTATGGGGAGGGTCACGTACAAGGATCCTTAATCGTTTTGTGAGCATAGAGTGCTTTTCACTTTGGCAAAGACTGGCAATCTCTAGGACTATGAGACATTTGGGGTGCTGTCCATGAAATCCCTCAAGGAAGGCACAAAGATTCCTCCTGCTGTCTGCATAGGACCCCTTTATTTACTTATATATACCTATAATCTCAATTGTGGGACAGATTGCTCCACTGAGGCAGACTGGCACCTTGCCTATAATACAGTCCTAGAGATCTGTCTCAGTCACAGAGAGGTTGAGGGACTTGCTGAGTCACACAGCCAGGATGCACTGGGGGTCCTTGCGCTCAGATCTTTGACTATTGACACTTACCTTGGGCAAATCATTATCTGTAAAATAGGCCTAGCTGGTCTCTGAGGTCTCTTCTGTAGTTCATCGTGACATTTACCCACCTAGGAGTTATTTTCTTTTGAAGGGGATGGGGAAAGAAAGGTAAGGGCTCTTATCTCAGCTTGTCCAATTTCTCTCTCTCTCTCTTTTTTTTTTGTGGGGGGGGGTTACTTTCCCAATCTAATTCTAACCCTCTAGCCCTTTGACTTCCCTGAATCTTAAGGACTGGCCTCACTGTAGCCTCTAGGAAATGCTAAGTTTCATGATCTCAGAACTGATTGTGGTTGAATGTAAGCAAAGACTATCTCATACCTTTCTATCTGTACACCCAGTGCCTGGCGTATAGTAGGTGCTTAATTGATTACTGATTGATTCTTTATTCCTTAACTTACTGCTTTAATCATTTTGGAACTCAGCAGAGGGTGTATGGGTAAGATTCTCATTTAGCATTTCAATAAATTAACTGCAATTCTGCAGCCACTATATGTGTGACTTTTAACTGTAGCCAGCAGGTCATGGACCCTTCTCAGAATAATGTTGTGGGGCAGCTAGATGGCGCAGTGGATAGAGCACCGGCCCTGGATTCAGTTCAAATCCAGCCTCAGGCACATAACACATACTAGCTGTGTGACCCTGGGCAAGTCACTTAAACCCACTGCCTAGCCAAAAGAAAAAAAATTTAAAAAAAAAGACTAATGTTGTTAAATGCATAAGTTAAAATAGAGAAGATTACAAAGGAAACCTACTGTAATGAAATATAGTTGTCAAAATATTAAAAAAAAATTCATGGGCCCTAGGTTAAGAACACTTGCATAAAAGTATTGGGTTAAACAGAGGTATATTTGGGGGCTAGTCCAGTCAAGGAAATGATGGAGAAACAACGCCAGACCCCCTCTCCTTTTGTAAAAGGGCATTTCCTGTGAAAGGGGAGGGAAAAAAAAGAGTATTCTGAAAAACTGAACATAAAATGGAAAGAGAAGCTAAGTTTTGAGCTTTTCAAAATGGGTAATACAGGGCAGGCAATTTTAAAAAATTCATCGTGTCTGAAAATAATTTCCTTCAAAATTACTTTTCCATAGACTCTGTCTTTGTCATAGATGTCCTAGAATCAGGGAACCAGGCACACAGACTTGGCCTGTACTGAATTCTCAACAAGACTGGCAACTTTCCTGTGGTGATAATTAGAGAGAAAACTCGATCTGAATCTTTAAGGTTAAAGCTGACAGATCTCAGATGCCTCAGCCAGATCATGAAAAAGCTGTTGCCTGAGTTTGGGGGAAAAAAATAAATCTGAGATGACAGTTATGGCAAATTAGTGGGGATTATCAGAGGAGATGAGGGAACATGAAAAGAGTACTTTGTAATTAAGACAGTCTTAGGGACAGACAAGCTGTAGGCAATGGAGGACTGAAAATAACTACTCAGCACACACACACACATTCCCCAGAGTCTTAGTTTTAAACTTTAAAAGCTGAAATAGAATCAAGAGGTAAATTCCAAAACACCAGCATAGAAGAAATTGGAGAAACTCTTCTTACCCTTTTCCCCCTGCAAAAAAGTCATGGGTCATTAGATAAGATACAAGTGGAGAAATGTTCTGGAATTCAGAGCCTTTCAGCAGCACTGAGACATTTGGGACACCCTGTCTGTACACGTGTTTCTCTGTGTGTGGCTAGAGGATCTGGACTTTTGGTCACATCCTTGACACATGATGGCTGTGTGACCCTGGACAACTCACTTCTCTGTGCCCAACACTCAGCCTACAGCACTCCCAAGTGTGGCCAGTAAAACACAGATATTACACTCTGAAACAAAGTCAATATGCAACCTGCAGAGACTTCTGTGTATGGATTAGTGGTCCCCATTTTATCTGAGTTTGACACCACCGTATAGACTAGAAGTTGCCAAGAAGGTGCCAGCCCACGTTGGTACAACGAATGCCTCACCTGGAAATTCCCTCCTCCAGTGATCTCTGGGGATCATAACCACAGCATTATCCTCAGCTCCTCCTTCTCCCTCACCCCACATATCCACAGTAACCAAATCTTCTCAGTCATCCTTTCCCCACTTCTCTTACATCCGACCCCTTTTGTTCAGGCCCTCATGACCTCTTCCCCTAGATGATTCCAAGAGCCTTCTAATGGACATCCGTGTCTCCACTGTCTTCTCACCTTCCAAATGGCTACCAAAGTAATCTTTTCCCCCTTAAACACAGATCTGAGCGTGTGATTTCTCTATTCCTGTTATTTAAGCTTTACATAAACCTGGTCCCAAGCTCCCTTTCTAGTATCACTAGACATCATTCCTTTTCCTCAACACCATCTGTGTCTGGGGCAGCTGACTGTGGGAATACACACCTCCGGTGGTTAAGGACACAGCTCCCTCCCCATCTTCTGCAGGAAGCCTTTCCTTTCCTGTTTCCTCCCCCACTGGGAGAGCCTTCCCTTTCAAACTATCTAGCAGACATTTGCACGTATTCACACTGTTTGTTATCTATCTATACTGGTCTTCCTCATTACAAGGAAGGCTCCTTGAGACAGGATTACAATCCTGTCTTCAGGGTCTGACACAGAGTACGTGCTTTAACGAATGCTTGTTGAATGATACAAACAGCTTGTTTCTCCTCTGACAGAATGCAAGCTCTGTGCAGACAGGAGGGACTGTTCCATTTTGCTCTGCATCCCCAACGCCTAGTTTAGTGCTGGGCACATAAGAGGTGTTTAACAGAGGCTTGCTGATTGATGGCTTAGACCGGACACTCTTGCCCTGGAGTCCATGGAGGTTCTATGAACTAGAACGGGGGAGGGAGGGGGAGAAGGGTGGGGAAGTGACAGCTTTATTTTCACCAACCTCTGATGGAAATTAGCATTTCCATCAACTATTTAAAAACATTATTAGAAGGGATCCGTAAGTTCCACCAGATGCTGCCCAAGGGGTGAAAACAACAACAAAAGACCAAAAACCAAAGGCCAATTATGGTGGAATTGATTCTCACAACATCCCTTTGAGGTAGATATCATCATCTCCAATTTTATGGTTGAGGCTACGGAGGCAGGCAGAGGTTAATTGACTTGCCCAGGGTCACACAACATGCAAGGGTCTGAGGATGGATTTGAACTCGAGTCCTTCCTGACTTCAGGCCCAGCACCTGCCCCTTAAAAGACTTTTAATTCTTCTTGAGTCACTTGGGAGCGTCGATGGCTAAACACAGGCCATCTGACCAAAAACCGATTATTGCCAGGCCATAAACCCAGGTCTGATTTTGTTCTCAAGCACAGCTACCAAACGGAGGTTACGTTTCAGGCTAACGAAGCCATCTTTCTGTTCCCTGCCTGAAAGTATGTACTCCCAATACTTTTAATAAAAGATTCTCCATTTTATCAGTATGGGAGTAATCTAATAAACTGGGATTCCTCCCCCACCCAGCAGCTGGTTTTATGAACTGCTCTGGCTCCAAAGCGGCCTGGGCTTAGTAATCGAGCTCTTCCCGTCTTGACTGAGCTGGCCCCAGCATACTCAGAGTCCTTCCAGGGCTTGTGTTGGTCAGGTGACATGATTATCAAGAAGCCAAGGTCACCTACCTTTCACAAGGAGAGCGTCACTCTTGAAATCTCATAAGAACACATTTCTCCACTGTAGCTAACAGTTGCCTGGATGGAAGATTCATACAGTATTAATGACTCATTATCACTGACTCCCACATTGAGAGATCCAGAAAGGTTGGCCTCTCCACAGGAAGTTTCCTCTTGATACTTGAAAGCCAAACAGTATGGCTTCATGGGCTGTGCTTGGGACCTGTTCTGGTGGGGCTAGACTGAGGGTCTTTCTACCGGGCACGTCACAGCGACTGCCATTCACACTGGCTTGTAACAGTGACGTTTTGCTTTTTCTCCCCTACCTAGTTCCCAACTCTGCTCAATGGCCACATACCGGTGCCAATCCCCAGCCTGGACAGAGCCTCTTCCCCGGGACTCCTTTCTTCAAGTGCTCAGAAATCCTGATGATCTCCCCACATTAAAGGGCTTGCTAACTGACAGAAGAAATCCACCCCAACGGGCTAGTTTTCCTGTGTCGTGACAAGGACATTGTGAAACCCTGTTACTTTGGTTTGCACTTTCCATTACGTGGATGGTCTGAGTTGTTGCATTAGCATTTTTTCAACAGTTTTTTATATATACGTATCAGTATATATAAAAGCCTGTTTTGCATTAAATGACTTTTTTCATGTTTTTGTATTCTCTTAGCTCTCAAGTGTTGAACACTGTTGACAGTGAAGAACTTTTCTTAATGGATTTCATTGTATCTAATAAGGATGTGAAGCTTCCCCTCCCTTTAATTCTGCACTGTGCTCATATAGACTATAACCGGCTGTGCCTTCCTTTGCATAATGTTTAATGTTATGTAAATGATTTATATATTTTCTAGTATTAAGAGAAAATGGTTGAAAGAGAAAAATTAGTATCCAACAGCGCTATGGTAGTGATGCATTCTTTTTCACAAGTAGGCAATATGAAAGCACGTCCATATAACTTTTTACTTCGTGCTTTCAAATTGTATACAAAATTGCCTTACAATGTTTTGAACTGAAAGACAATAGTAGATCTACTGTCCATGGTAATGAGGTTTTTTTTTTTAAAGAATAAACCAAGCCATATTTAGACAATGACTATTCATAGACTGAAATGCTCCAAGGGCGTATTAAAAGCATAATTGCAAAAGACAAGCCTTCTAGCTGCCGACAGGACCTTTCAGATTCTTTGCAAACAGGGAATGAAGATGAAAAACTACACAAAGAGACCCTCTTTCCATGCCTTTGGCACCCGTCTTAGATTGCTCCCAATCGTTACATGTTCTCTTAGCAATGAGAACACCCAGGGCTTCCACTTTCCATAGAGAATGACTTATCTGAATAGATTTACTCTGTCAGTATGTGTTCAGGGTTTCCTGAAACCCTTAGGATCTTAGGTAGAATATTTAAAACCTAGTGTTTTGAAAGGGGCTCACTTTAAAGGGGGTTCTCAGTTTTGAAAATTTGGGCAGAATGCTCTACTTAATTTGATGTATCTTAAGTTTATGGTCAAGGTGAAAGAAACTCAATATGAGTTCAAATTAATCATCTTCTGAAAGCACTATTGTTGTGGAGCTGAATTTAACTGTTTCAAGTCATCTGGAACAAGCTACGTAGTCAATGTGCATCTGCAATTTAGAGCAATGATTATGAAAACATGTCCTGAAGGACGAGGCATAAATGAAAGGCAACCTTCCTTCTAATGCTACTTTCTGTTCTTCGAGGAGATTACAGGCATCCTAATACAGGATGGAAGAAAAGACCCTGGGAAAAGCAGCTGGTCCTGGCAAATTCAAGATTGGGTTAATTATAGTCCCTAATTACTTGACTGGTCATGAAAATCATTTTGGACGATTACTGTACAGCTAACTGGTCTGGACCATCCCTTAAATGCACTACTATGGGACAACCATAAATATTAACCTCTGTGTAAAGCTCTTACGACTAGTACTTAAATATTTTTGAAGTCAAATATTCAGATACTGGTTTTGTCAGATGTTCAGGGATTCCAAATTTTTGGATCATTTGGAAAGAAGGAACAAAGGAAACTTGATTCTATGCATACCATCTGTGATACTGGGGGGGAGATCAAATATACAGGCTGCCACTATGAAGTAGTGAGGCTGCATCAGTCTACGTATTACCATTATGTTGGCATATCATAGCCATATTTCACTTTTTCAAAAGTACCTATCAAAAATGGGACATGGGTAGACTCCGAGATTCCATCTACTTTTTAACTTTTAAAACCAGAGTAATGGGGCAGCGAGGTGGTGCAGTGGATAGAGCACCAGCCCTGGAAGTCAGGAAGACCTGAGTTCAAATCCAACCTCAGACACATAACACTCACTAGCTGTGTGACTCTGGCCAGGTCATTTAACCCCAACTGCCTCACCAAAAAAAAAAAAGTAACAAAAGGCCAAGGAGATTAGATGACTTCTCCAAAGCCCCTCAGATGTTACTCAGGCAAGATCTGATTCCCAACTGAATACTTCTTCCACTGTGCCATCACACTGCATGCCAGTGTTCTCATGGCTGCAAAAAAAGAAAGGGTAGAACCTTTCTGATTGCTTGAGCCACAGAGAAAAACCAGGCACGAAATAAGAAATCATTCCAACAACCAAGTTGCTACAATAATGACCAAGGTACTGAATCTGAGACAAGAACACTTCCAGTGGCCCCTTTTTCTCCCCATCAATAGCTGGTGAATACCATTCAGGAGGATGGGAATCTAACTTGGTTGGGTCCTGTTTCCCTCCCCACACACACACTGATTGTCTTCTACATCAATCAAACCTATAGTGGGTTGTTATGGATGGAAAAATACAATACCTATTATGATGGGTTAAGAACTCTGCTAATTTAGCAACCTGAATGATAGCTGGAAGCATTTGGAGATAAGCTGTCAGTGGCCCTGCCTCATTCTATTTTTCACAGACATATTTTTTCCCTTTATGTCAGAAGATGAGATTTGCAATAGCATTAAAAAAAAAGTATACAATAGCTCTTCAGCTCCATGCCTGCTGACTCTCAAAGAGCTATGGTGAAAATGCTGCACGACCATAATCAGTATGTTGGATTCCTTCTATACACATCTCACCAAATGGACAGAACTGAAAATCCTCATTCACTTGCATTTATGTATGTATCATTTTTACTGTTACATTTTTTGTTCAATAAACAATTTTTTTTTAAAAAAAAAGGTTACACTAACATTTTGTAATAAAAACTTTGTCAGTAGAAGGGTGGTTTTTGATAAAAGAACATGTCCAAACAGGGGTTAGATTTAGATTGCATTGGAGTATGACCACCTGAGAGGTTTGGGGGTGGGGTGGGGTAGGGCGGGGTGGTGGGGTGCAGCATCAGGTAGCAATGGACTGAGTGAGCCATGAGCTGGGACTGACTCTAGCTCTGCTTCTCCCTGCAGGGAGAAGGATGTTCCAAGCTGGGAAATGAATTCTGACCACACGCTGTCTCCTCTTCCAAGCACCTGTCAGAGCATTAACTCTCACCCAACTTTGCACCACATAATGTCGATGGTGGGCAGAGCCATTTAAGAAATCAATCTAAGAATGCCACTTCTTTAAGGGAAATTAATTAGGCATCTTTAAAAAAAAATAGAAGTGTCATACATTTGAGTCTGGTTCTTTCTAGCACCTCACGCTATTTTTTATTTTGGACTAGTATGTATGTTCCTTGTCTGCCCACGGCATAGGGGCATGCCTAATTTGAAATATTCTATCTAGGGCAAAAAGCATAACTGCCAAGAATTAACTATAGAGTAGTAGGGGATCAACAATGCAAAGAAGAGATGCAACAGTGCCAATCAGGTAAAGTTTTCATTTTCTTGTGAATGCAACTTTTGCAGCGATAATTCTGAATCTGCCATGGTTACCAATGTTGCTCAGGGTGCTGAATCACCAAACATCAACCCCCCCTCCTTTCTGTTTGTCTTCTTTTTTTTGCCACTTGCTTAGGCACTTGTTTCTTCCTTCCCTCTGAGAACCTGGCTGGTTTTGGACGAAAGAGAACTTTCCAACAGTAACTCCACTGCTGAGGTTCAGGGTCCCTCCCTTGTTTTCGGGCCCAAGTGTCAGCCAGGTATCACGGAGCAGCCGGCTTGCTTCCTCGACACAGAAATGAAAGAGAGAGAGAAGCTGCCTCAGGCAACCCCAGCAAACTCTGGCAATGTTTCTTCTCTTTCCTTGAGAGAATCAGGCTTTGGGGATAAAGCTAAGCAGGTGAACACTCTGGTGACACACCTGCCCCTAATGTACAGAACTTCTATCCCACCGATCCACATTCAGATGAAACCAGCCCGACACAGCCGTGGCCCCAGAAAGGACCTTCTTCAAAGGTGTCAGGCCCTTATCATCATTACTCCACTACTTAAGTATCCCAAGGGGTGTGAGACATAAGGGGTTACAGAGGGTGACTCGACTCTACCCAATGGTCCCTCTTCTGTGGAAGAATCACAATTCAACCAAACCGTATTTTAACAACATGGAGATTTTGTTATTATAAACTTCAAAACAAAACCAAGGAATTCCACATAATATTTATACTTTCAAAAGTACAATATTAATACGTGTTTGTCAGTTAGAAATAACAGCAGTTTGTTGGGTCTAAAACCAGTTTACAAATGCTGGAAAGCAGTAGTGGTCCGATATTCACCAGTATATAGGAATCTGTTTCTTCCAGAAAATTAAAAAAAAAAACCCAAAATAATTAAATTTACCAGTATCATGAACTATTAATAAAACACCCCCCAAACATGCCACAATCATTATTCACAAATAAAGTTAAAAGGAAATATACAAAAATCCACTTAATACTGTTAAATAACAATAAACTACAAGATTTCCTGAACCGAAATGGCAGGACCCCTGAATGTTTACAGTGAACGTCAGGAAAAACTTTAAGTTGTCTATGACTATTTTCATGATATACCAGCCAGAGATTTACAAGACCATTTCAAAACATCCCAATAAAGATTTACAGTCTGTAAGATGCACTACACAACTAATTGTTAAAGGTGAACACAAATGCTTAAGAGCATTGTTCCCATCACCCAGCCAGGTGCATTCTGACACCCAGTGAGATGCACAGGCACGGCCACGACATCTGTCATCTCTGGTAAACAGAGGCTGGGGACGCTTTTTTAAAAGCCTCCAAGTTCTCATCTGGGGAAGAGGAGTTGTTGTCCATGGCTCAAGTCACATGTCTATCACAGCTTCCAGCTGATTCCAAGTGAATATCAGGGTGGGGAGGGGGAAAGTAGGAAATGAAATCTGTTCTCCAATGAAGAAAATCATTCTGCTTCTCATCAAATACAAGAAGAATATTTCAGAAGAATAACAGGACGGGGGGGGGGGTCTGAACGGATTTGTATGAGTTAGTTCTCAGTGGATCAAAACACAACATAAATTAAGGTCAATGTCCTGTATACCACCGTTCAGGAGCATGCAAACATTGCTAAACTAGAGGTGACAAATAAATAATCCACGTGGCTCAAGGCCTGGGCTTCTAAGAGGAAATCCTTCCTGCCTCCTGGCCTTCCTCCGGACTTCCCTCCAGGCAGGTGGCAGGCAGGCAGGCTTTCATCTGCTCGAGTCACCTTGTGCATCACGTGCTTTTCTAAACATAATGTGCTTATAAATCTTGGAACTACCACATTGCCAATGTTAAATAAGACATTGTCTCATGAACTTGGAGCATTAAATGGTTCACCTATTTACAATTAAGCAAAGCTAAGTTTACATTCCAGGAAACATTGCAGTTTAATAAAAATAACAAACAAACAAAAACTGCAGCAGTCAAACAGTCTGTGAGGAGAAACAGATGCATTCACATATCATAAAGCCATTGCAACTTCTTCAGGCATTCAACTGTTGTGTTAAATAGACAGACAGTAGTTACTTAGCAGCAATGATTCCGCAATAAATAATGCACTGTGTTTCTCAGTCCTGCACAAAAATTGCAGCTCCAGTTACAGCAATAGTTGTAACTGACTGGCTCTAATGGCAGAGAAGACCTTAAAACCAACTGTACAAGAAATTGTCACACTGTGACAACAAATATAAAAACATAATCTGCAGGTTGGAAATAAAAAGACTCCACTGGGAAGAGGACAGCGTAGACAAGCGGAGATCCCCAGTCCAGATCCGAGTCCGTGCTTGGTAAGAGAGGCTGGGGCTGGGCTTGAAATCCTGCTATCGAACTTAAAAGAGCATGCTCTGTCTTCTGTTCTTGCCGTGTCCTAAAATATAAAGTCATTGGGTGAGGCAGTTCAGAGTTCAGAGTTTACCCCACAGATCTGGTGACTCAAGGTCACTCCATGTTTCCCACCAGCAAAAGCTAAGACTCCGTGGTCAGGGCGACCGGCTCAGGCTTTTTTTAATGAACCCATTTGGGTCCGGGGTCAGTCTACAGCTTCTATGCTTCCAAGTGGTGAACCTGAAGACTAGGTGAGCACAAGGTGCATCTTCCGCTCCGGGTGCCAGGCACGGTGTGTTCAACGATCGAGCCAGGTCACTTGTAAAAGGTCTCTGTGTCATCGGCAGCCTTCAGGCCCCCTGACTTGACTGAGTCTGATTTTTTTTCTCTGAAGATACACTGAGCTGCCCACGTCATATAGAAAAGCGAGTTACGTGCAGTTCTAAAAGTATACCATTGTGGTATGCACAGGACACTGAGTTTCACATTAATAAAGTTACTAACCAATTTATAAACAAAAAGCTTGTTTCCATTCAGAAATTCAAGATCGACACGTGAAATGGTTTATTACAAACACACCTGTCTCTGGATAGGAAGAATTTCGAAAACCCGGGTCCTTTTGCAACTGAATTTCTTTCAAACTGAATATTGAGACACCTAGAATAAGGAGGAAAATATTTTGTTGAAACGATTAAACAAAATTTTAAAAAAATGTTTGGACTCCAGTGTTTACTAAGCATACTCTGCCAGGTCCAAGACAGGAAGAAAATTAAGCCATTTTCCCCCAAATAACATCAACTTCTCTAAGCACAAGGTGTTATGCTTTTGCTATGACAGACAAGGGGTAAATGAAAGGAATTTTACATCAACAGAACCATCTGGTGATGACTGCAAGGGGAAGGGAAAAGGAGCTAGTCACTACTCTTTTAATCAAGCTGGGTTGTATGACTGTGCCCCTAATGTAGCTTCAACTCCACAGAGAGATAAAGTGAATGAGAGTGATCAAAATGGTCCTCCTCATGGGATTAAAATGCTTGCTTTCCAAACCTAAAGCTAGAAGTACAACATCTTCTGTCAATCACAGTACGATTCACTTGCCTCTCCCTTCCTGAGAGAAGCAGTATTTACTCAAAACATCTAAGAATTTTTGAAGGAAACGAAAACCGTTAGATCTCAATTGCAAATAACTTTGCTACTGATTGCTACCTAAGGATGAGCAAGTCAACCTTTTCTTTAATTAGTGACAGTGAACCCATGGATTAATTAAATACTGGAAGCAGGCAGACAAGTGCCATGATGTTGGCACAATTCTCATCTGTCTCACTTCCATTTTAGGGTAGAAATGTTAGAGGAGGAGAGGGGAGGCGATAGGAGTAAAATGAGATGGACCAGACTTTTAAGATCTTTGCAAGTGTTACTTATTATCTTACTGAAAGTGACTGTCAATGACACAAGTAAAAAGGACAAAAGGTTAATACCAAAGAAATCAATATCTAACACATTAGGAGAAAAATCCATTTCTAGAAGGAAATCTTTTAGGGTCTTGAAATGGTGATCTTTGCTTGCCAACAGAACTGCTGCTCTTGGGTTAGTGATCATGTCACACTTATCTTCTACTACAAAAGGCACATTTTGGTATCATCACAAAGTTAATTGCTGTCATTCACCTTTAGTGTACTAACAGGGTGCGCAGGAAGGAATGGAAATAGCATGAGACCATCTCCCTTTTGGAATTCTGATCCAATTATGGAAAAGATTAGGCTCTTAGGTTTGAAAGACAAACTTGAAAATTCCTCTTACTTTCAGGTAAAGCGTGTATTCTTGTTCCCAGACTCCGAAAGTATGCATGTTTCATGGCTTCCTCTGCTGAAACCCTTTTCTTTGACTCATACTGTGAAAAAACCAAAGGATCATTTCATCAACTTTTCCTGAAATTAATCCTAACAGAAAAAAGAAAACACTGAGAAATACTGTATTGAGGGCCTCAATTTCCCTATTCTTGGTCATTTGACATGAAGACTATTTGATATAGAAGTTTTATGTACATCAGGCCCTTTTATAAATCTAGGTTCCTACTTTAACGTGGAAGACAAGTTGTTTTCTAAGAATGAATCTTTTCTAACATGTAATTAAGATCTCTTTATAGGTCTCGAAATGACAAGAATCAAGACTGGGATTCGCTGATTTTGGATCACTTTTCCTTTACAAACACAAAAGATTAGAAGAATACTATAACGCACTGTCCATAATTATTTTGCAACCTAAAGCATCAAGTCCCTGATGCCTCCATTATCTAACTCTGCTCCATGACTCTATTCTTTGCAAGCTTCGAGGCAGTATGCTATGGCTGGGCAGCAGAAAAGCTGGAAGATCCCATCTCAGTTCCCAAATGAAAGCAATGATCAAAGAAAAATCTACACTCTCCTATAGGCAAATCTGCATCGCTAATAATATGGCATGTTAATTTTTCAGCATAAAGCCAATATACATGTATCTAAACATCAAAAGATGGGTCAATTATCCATCAGCTATGGAATCTTACTGACAATAAGCAAAACAAAAGGCAAATCCCCTGATGATCAACTCCATGGAATATTGACAATAATGCTGCTTTTAGTGGGCTTGGGAGCAGGGTCACCAAATGAGGTGTCAGACAGAAGGTGAATTGTCCAGATAAATCAAAATCCCCCTTCACTGCTTTCAAACTTTTTTGTTTGAAAGCCTCTCACTGACCAAACTGAGGCCATGTAGAAAAAGCACGCTCTGCTCTTCTCCACTCAACGGCCTTTTCCTGCCATCTCCTCCTTCACTCGAAGGAGCAGCCCTCTGTGCCAAGGCAAACGCATCCCACACCTGTCCTGCTGCGGCTGGGATCCTGGAGAAGGTTGTGTGGAGTAGCAGCCTCCAAGACCTGTTGTCTCTGCGGTTTGGCTTCTAGTGTCACCATCCAACCCAAACCACTCTCCTCAGTCATTACTGATCTCTTCTAGACCAAACCCAGGGGCCACCTCTCAATGCTCATCCTCCTTAACATCTCCAAAGCCTAATGCACCCTCTACACACTCTCTGTCTCTCTCTCTCTCTCTCTCTCTCTGTCTCTCTCTCTCTCTCTCTCTCTCTCTCTCTCTGTCTCCTCGCTCCTTACCTACTTCTCTGACTAATCCTTCTGTCCTTTACTGAATCTTCATCCAGGTTGTAACTGCTAACTAAGGGTCTCCCTGCAAAGCTCTGTCTCGGGCCTTCTTCTGTCCTCAAAGATTGAGAACTGGAACAGCTCTTAGTGGTCACTAGGTCTAATGCCCTCATTTGACAAATAAGGAACCTGGGGCCCACATTTAAGTCAGCTGCTTGCAAAAACACTGTGTCTGAGGCAGAACTTGAATCCAGGTCTTCCTGACTCCGACTCTAGTACTCCATATGCTACACCACACCATCTCTTATTGCAGTACATAGGCATTTCCCTACAAGTTTTAATTAACCCATTCAAAATGGCTCCTCAAGAGCCTACTATGACAAGTAGCATGTACTTGGGGACACGAGACAAAGACAGAGACTTTCCTTGCCTCTGAGGATCTCACAGTTCATTAGGGATGAAGGAATACATAAAAATATAGTTATACACTCAGATATTACAAGTGGGAAGGAGGTTACTTCCAGCTGGAGAGCAGTCAGGGGGAAGAAGGAAGGAAGGAAGGAAGGAAGGAAGGAAGGAAGGAAGGAAGGAAGGAAGGAAGGAAGGAAGGAAGGAAGGAAGGAAGGAAGGAAGGAAGGAAGGAAGGAAGGAAGGAAGGAAGGAAGGAAGGAAGGAAGGAAGGAAGGAAGGAAGGAAGGAAGGAAGGAAGGAAGGAAGAAGGAAGGAAGGAAGGAAGGAAGAAGAAGGAAGAAGGAAGGAAGGAAGGAAGGAAGAAGGAAGGAAGGAAGGAAGGAAGGAAGGAAGGAAGGAAGGAAACAAGGAAGGAACAGAATGAGAAAGGTGCGGATGGCTGTGCGAAAGAACGGTCTGTGCTCAGCGGAAACTGGGGGAGAGAAGCCTGAAGCCAGCCCAGAGGGAGCCACCAGTGCCAGGATAAAAACTTTATTCAGTAGATTGTGGGGTGTTGAGGTAGGTTTTCTTTTCTTAAGGAAAAACATAATCAGACCTGAGCATTATGAAGATTGAGGAGGGACAGGAAGTGACAGGGGAGACCAGGAAGAGGCACCTCCTAAGATTCACTAACTTATACGTTCTTTAATGACAGATAATGGATGCTGGCATAATGGGACGCCGCTAAACATAAAGCTCACATTTTCTTAGAAGTGAGGAGGAAAAATAAAACCTGTTTAGGGATCAGGTCAATAAGGAATTCCAAAATAAAACGCTAAATGTCATGCTTCTTGGAAAGAACATGATATGTGACGACAAGTTTTCGTAGTGAGCTGGATTCCAAGCACTGTACTGCTGCCCCTGAGGATTGGCGTGAACAAGGCCTGCCCTTGCTAGCTTCCTCTGCAGCTCAGACCCAGGAAAATCAGGTGCCTGCTGATCCAGAATTCACAGGTCCCTCAGCTTGGAGAGGAAGCTAGGATACCTTTGCTGTTGCATTCCACCTGAACTGACTATCTGCTTCTCACGTTGCCCATCTGCCCATCTGACATTTTAACAATAAAAACGTAGTGTACAACTTACCTGAAGAAATCTTGTTATCAGTTCAATTCCTTCAGAGTCTAGTCTAGGAACAACAACAAAGAAGTAATCAGTGTTGCCTTGCGCCTTAGCCGCCAGAATGTTCAAAAGCCCAATGTACCGACCCGGCATTGTCGTCCGCTGACTCCTATTCTGGTGGACTCTGCTCTACGCTCAAACGTCTCACCTACACACTGTGTGTCAACTAGAAGCAGCCTCACGTCCTCTGAGAAGTGGACAGCAGGTGAAACTGCAGTCTCCTCAGCGGGCCAACATTCATTAATGTGATGAAAAAGGCACAAGAGAACAACCAATACCTTGCCTTATGTGGGGGAAAGACCTGTTCCAGGGAAATCAGACACGTTACAGGCCAGTTAACTCTTCCAATGCCCCTCTGAAGAAAGGACGACGCAGAAGACAAAGCAGAGCCCTTGTGGGGAGGTGACCGGCCCCCAACTGCACAGGACGTCCCGGGAGTTGGTCTGAGGAGTCAGAACCCACAAAGGAAGGCCTCTACGGTCTGAGGCAGCTGAGGGGACAACATCAAGACTGACCGTGGCTCCTGCCCTCAGGGAGCTTATAATCAATGAAAGAGAAGAACCAAACAATCAAAAACCACTTCTAAGCCAGCACAATAATGAAACAACTATGTTGCGTGGAAGGAGGTTAGCGGGCTCCTGATAATTATGATTCCTTCACCACAAATCCGGTGCTTTCTCCTGCAGCCTGACATGCCTGTAAAATTCATGGGGAAAAACCGATATGTAACACCAGCCTTCTATGAAAGCTTTCTGGAAGTCCTGGGTCAGTATCTGGACTCAACAAGGCCCGGCGCCTTGTGGGAGGCCGACTTCCAGCGTCCGGCCACTTTCTCCCTGTCTTGCACACACCACTATTCTGACACACTCAACACTGACAGGAAGCATGGACAGGAGAAGCCAGCTTCTGGGGCTCCATAATACTGGCTCACTGGAAAACAGGGAGCTTAAAGTGCATAAATTATATCAGAGGCGGCCATACAAACCATTTTTTAAAACTTTCTCAAGAGCAGACCTGGAAAAACCAGCAAGAAGTTCATACCACAAATACATAGATGGTAATAATTATGTGATTTATGGAACAGAGAAGAAATGTGGTATAAAAATGACACCACATTTTTCCTCCTAAGAAGAAAATCTGGCCTAATTTAGGTCAGTTGCTATAGTGACAACAAACAGGCCCCCACTGAGTCCCATGAGTGGTTTGAAAATATTTTTGGTGTTAGTAACAATTTTGTTGATCTGTCAATTGCCTGAGAATATAAAAGGGCACACTTTTTGAGTATGAGTGTTGTCAGCAAAGGAAATGGGTAGGAGGCCATGATCAAGCTTAAGTTAGAAAGAGTTCAAAGGTCGAGATGTGGGAACCACGGGAAAGAAGACGCTCCTGTCAACGCAGTTGAAACCTCTCTACGCTGACCTAGAAATCTCTGTGCTGGGCATCTGCCCCCAGGAGGTCAAGGCCAGAAGAGACAAGCTCCTTAAATAACAAAGCACACTGCGGCACTTCTGGTGACAGCAGAGTCCTGGAAACAAAGGAGATCCCCAACGACCTGGCCTCACTAAACAAACCATGGTGCAGATGTGTAACAGAATATGACTGTGCCACCGGGTACTACGAATATGATGAAAACAGAAGACTCACATAGGCCAGGCAAGGAAAAAAACAGACATAATGACAACAACAATGTATGTGGACAGAACTGCCATGGAACAACTGAAAACAAATATTGTAAAATTACAAAGAAAAAGCCTGGCCCCAAAGGAGAGAGACTGCCCCCACCTCCCTGGCAGAGACGGGAGGTGCTCAGGGGCAGAAGACTCCAAATGAGGAAAGATGCCTGGTAGTGTGCACTGGGAGGGGCAAGATACTTCCAGGGATAACTTTTGCTGGACAAGGGGTGGAAAGAACACGTCCCTGGGAACCCCGAGGGGCAGAAAAGAAGCAGGCGTGGTACGGAGGGATGAGAGACCAGCAAGGAAGGCACAGAGATGACAGCCAGGCAGTGTCAAAAGGGCCGGGAGGGCCTTCAGTGTCCCCTGTGGTAAGAACCCTGGGGGCGACCAGAATCACAAAGGATAAACCAGCACCTATGGGAGGGAAGAGGACCCACACTGGGTGTGATCACGGACCCACTGAGGTCACAGGGAAGAAGCTTCTGCAGAAAGCAGTTCTCTAATTTGCCCTCATACTTATACAAAAATAAAGCAGGCTTTAGATGCTAACGTAATTGTGGTCTCTAAAATTTCCCTTTATCTATTTCTTTCTTGATCATTTTATGCCAATGTGCACATTAATGTTGTTTTTCAAAGTGAAAAATGGCTTTTCCCAACAGAATAAGAAGGCAAGAAAAAGTGAAATGTCCCAGAGAGCAAACACAGACCCAAAGTGTTTGCTTCCATGTCTTTATACATACCGTGAGGCAGGCATGTACCTAGAAGGAGCATTTTAAACAATCACAAAAAGTCTTACAATCTTTTACAGGTGAAACAAACAAGCACAAAATACCTGGGTGCATGATTGATTAGAGGCTGTGGTTTGTATTTAGGAAAGTTGTAGTTCTTGAACTCATCATTGGAAGAAACACCTGGCCAGGTTTCTTGAGATGGTGTTCCTGGGTTTTAAAAGAATACATACACAATTAATTCCATCAGAAATAAGTAACTAGAAATGAAGGTCACAGATCCCTGGCTGCCTCCACCAGGAGAGTTCAGCCGCCCCTCACCCTGTCTCAGATCTTTTCCTCTCCCTTTTCTGTGTCCTCTTCCCTCATTACAACGCAAGCATCTCGAGGGCAGGGACCATCTTTCTTCTGGCTCGTATTTGTAACCACAATGTTTACTGTACAGTGCCAGCACATAGAGAGTAAGCAGGTACTACAAGCTTATTAAGTGTCACTGAAATAGAAAAAGGCCAGAAACCTTACACAAGTCTGGATCTATGAGAAATGCAAAATTGGGCCACGGGAACAAAAAATGTCTGCATCTCTTCCCTGTAGCTGTCAATAAAGCTAGCAGTCATGCAATAATAAAATCTGAGGCAACTTAACAAGGGCATGGATCTCCTTGAGTCACTGACACCCCGAGAACCTTTGGAAGTCAGCAGGAGAGAAGAACTGGGGCTGTAGGGTGACTATCTCATCAGTAGTAACAGTTACTCAAGGCGCTCTCCACATCCAAAGGTTTCAAGCCTGTCTTTAGACAGCATGCGTGTGCAATGGATTCTTCTGCACACATCTACATAAAGAAACCCGTGTGTACACACCTTTCAATAAAACAGCACAGCCAGCAGACAATAAGAACAGAGCCTAGAACCAGGGGGGCCACACTTCTGTGGCATTCTGCCACAATCGGACAACAGCACAACATGGAGGATAGTTCTGGCCACAATGTTATAGATATATTAATAATATAATATATAATAATACATTAAAAAATTAATGTTATGTGTACATTAATAAAGGTCCTCGTGGACTACTCCGGCAAAGGATAAACTTTGGCAGTTTCGACCAGGCTGGACAGACGCCGCACGTGGCCCAGTGACAGCCTGCACGCCTGTTCCTAAGGACCAGTCTGGATCAGTCTGGAGATGCTCAGCACCAGCTGTAACTCGAGGGGGATGAATTTTTCATGCACAACATATCTCAAAGCCTGTCTCTTGGATTACAGAGGATCCACACCAAATGATATGGTAAGCTGGAGTATGTCCAGAGGAAAGCGACGAAGGTGGGGCTGGAGCTCAGAGCCAAGTCATCTGCAGACAGCCTGAAGGAGCTAGGGATGTTTAACCTGGAGAAGAGGAGACTTAAGGGAAGCCAGAATCACTCAGGCAGCAATATCTGAAGGGCTGCCATATGAGACAAGACACTTGGCTTTGACTCCAGAGGCCAGAACTAGGCCCAGTGGAATGATGTTAAGTGAGGCAGATTTGAATTTAATATTAAGGAAAACTTTCCTAAATCTCAGAGCTGGATTTTCTCCAAGGTAAATCCTCTTCGAGCTTCCTTTGAATCATCAGACTCTATGATTCTACCATTTTGCAAAACTCTGGAATCTTGCTATGAAACTGACTAAAATGTTCAACCTCTTTGACCCAGAGATCCTATGACAAAGAGGTCAATGGCAAAAAGAAAGGTCCTACAATAAACCAAAAATATTTACAGCAGTATGTTTTATAACCAATCACCTTTGATTGGGGAATGACTAAACAAATAATGGCATGTATTGGAAGATTGCTGGATTGTAAGAAATTTTGCATATGAGGCACAGAATGAAGTATGAGGGATTTCTATGAGCTGATGCAAAGGGAAGAAAACAGAACCAGGAAGGAATAACACAAAACATCGCAACATGAAAAGGCACCTCCCTCACCCACAAGGTAACAGACTTGCTTTCACCTCTCCTCTGACATAGTCTCCGCCCTGAGCATCTGGACTGTTTTCAGAGGCTGATGGGATCCCTTTGTGTCCATCCTGCACTTGGCTGTCAAAGAGATCTTCCTAAGGAAGGCCTTCCTAAGTCTGCCCTAGTCAATCACTCCTGTGGCTCCCTATCTCTTGGCTGTTCCAAGCCCTTCATGAGCGGGCTGTCTCCCCTCCCCTTCTCTCCCACTCCTCCCTGCCTCCCCCCAAGTCTTCCCAGACCTCACTCAGTGCCAGGTACTATGGTCCACTGACATGGGCCTTCTGCTATTCCTCTCGACACGTTCCCTGGTGGTCCCTCTGGCTCAGAAGGCTCTCCTTCCTCATCTCTGCCTCCTGGCCTCCCCAGCTTCCTTCAAGTCCTCTCTAAAACAGCACCAAGCCATAATGCTGGTGCCTTCCCTGTGAGGTGATCTCCATTGTGAGCTCCTGGACAGCATGGATTGTTTTTTACCTTTCTTCTTAGCTGGGGCCTGACTCATCAGAGATGCTGAATAAATGCTGACCTACTCAATGACTTCCTTGACTGTGGAGACTGGGTACTAAGGGTGTGGAATACTTCAGAGAATGAGGTCAGACTTGGCTCCACTTTCTTTTTGTTACTTGGTCATCTTACCAGCACAGATTAACTCAGCTTTTGATGGTCTACACCCTCTCTGCTGCCTCTCCTCTTTGACTGGAGGACAGTAAACCCCTCCCAGAGCCTTAGGGTTCTCAGATCCTCACCCCCTCACCCCACCCTTTCAGTAGCCTATTATGTGGGGTCTTTACCCAATTAGATAGTAAGCTCCTGGAGGACAGGGTCTGTTTTTCTTTTATTTGTACCTCCAGCACCTAGCACAGAGCCTGGCATACAGGCTGAACTGAACTGTTACAGGAGATGGTCTTCTGGGAGAGGGGACACAGGGGAAATGGAGAGGATGCAAAAAAAAGATATACTAACAACTTTAAAAATACACTCCACAAATCAGGCAGGAAACGTGCAGGTGCAGCCTGACAGAGAAGAAAACAACTATTACCAAGCAGTCGGAAGATTAGATGCAGTTCATCCTCCACTGTAGAACCTGGAAAAAGGGGTCTTCCTGATGCCATTTCAAAGAATATGCAGCCAACACCCCTTTAGAGCGTGCAATGGAAAAAAGAAAGAGAAATCGATTGACATAAGAGAAAACATCATGCACAGTCTTCTTTCCCTCGATATTTACCTGCTTGACAGTTTCTCGCTCAGATCTCTCAGCTCCAGACACACTAAGGCGCCTTCTGGTCATTTTCCTCGCCTGCCTGCACTCGGTGCCCCCTGCCTTTGGACGTATCATTCACCCTGATTAAAAGTCCTGGTCCTGTTCTCCACTACCCTACAACAGCACCCTTGCCCGCCCTCACTCCAGACCAAAATGCCTTTTCTTACTACACACTCCACTCTGCACATCACAGCATTCTAACTCCAAGAGTTCTTACTTGGTGAACACGGTTTAATATTTTTCCTTGTAAGTGCTCACCTTTTGAATGTTGTGTGTACTTTGTCTCTATGACGAGGTGGTCGGTTCTTTTTTAAAAACAGATTTTTATTGATATATTCCTGTGTATATGTGACCCTTCATCCTTCCCTATCCAAGAAAGCCACCCCTCATAACCCGAGACACAAAGATAGAACCCCACCTTAAAAGAATTTAAGATCTTGTTGAGAGAAAAACAAACTGTGGAACAAGAATAGCAATAAGATTTAAAACGTTGTTCAAGACCAGATAAAAAGACATTAAAAGTCAGAGGGTGAATTCATTTCATCCAATGAATACTGCAGACAATAAATGTTATGGAAGCCTTGAGGAAGGCGAGACCCCCTGACGCTGGATCATTCGGGAAGCCACACAGAGGCTGTTCCAGGCAGGAGGAGGCCCAGGAGCCTGCAGGGCACCATATGTGCATAGATCACCAAAAGCAAACACACTGTGGCCAGAAAGCATGTGACATTTCCAAAGGGAAGTGAGTGGAGCAGAGGACTCCCTTCAGGAAGCAGTCAGAAGTAAGACTCAGAGGCTGAAGTCACATAGCAAGTTTGGATTAATAAAGGGGACATATGGTTTTGTGAGTAGAGGAGTGCTAATTAAATGGAATTACCTTTAATTTCATTAACATAACAAGGATACTGAACCTAACATTCTGCAAATGAACATCCCAATTCCACCCTAATGTTCTGCTCTGACTAATCATCATGGCGTGGAGGTGACCTGGGGTTGTCAAAGGAGATATCGGCAAAGGGCAGTATCTGCTGGGTCTTGACAATGGATGGCCATTTGAGAACCCGACAATTCAGAGGCTAGTCTGCTAAGCTGTGCAGGGGTTGTGATCTGCATCCTTGAAAAGGGGACTCACACCAATGAAATGTATCGCATTTTTAAATACAAACTGTTACCAGCACCAACCGGCATGCAAACATGGTATAAGCCATCACGTGTGTGAAGAAGGCGGAGGGCTGATGCCATGTAAGAGCGCCCACTTACAGGGCACTTCAAGGTTTACAAAATACTCTTCATGTACAGCTTGTCTCTGGATCCTCACAGTAACCATGTGTCGGGGGATGATTCTGCCTATTCAATGGCCGAGGAAAACACGCTCTGATGTTAACTGTCTTGCTTAGGGGCACACAGCTGGTATCTCAAGTGGGATGAGAACTGAGTCTTCCTGACTCCAAGCCTGGCACTCTCTCCACCAAACCACTCAAGAGGGAGGCTGGCACCTGCCTCCCCGGTGCTAAGAGAACTCGCCAAAAGGCTGCCAGCACCGGGGGCTGGTACTCTGTGGAGGATTTCCTAGGAAGCATGGACAAGAACAGCCCAAGGGAATGAGGCAGAGAAAGGGGGTGACCTGAGTGGATGGAAGGGACGCCCGCACCAACCATGCACTCACCACATGTCAATCTGTGTCGAGTACTCTGAGGAGCCCAGGAGAACGTCGGGGGGCCGGTACCAGAGCGTGACGACTTCATTGGAGTAGGTCTTTGTGGGAACCGACTTGGCCCTTGCCAGTCCTTCATAGGAAAGAGAAAACATTTGAGAAACGCAGGACTGGGACTTTAAAAAATCTTCATATTCCCGCCTCGCAATCCTAGTGTCATAGATGGGCTACTTATAGCTGCTCAAAACTCAACAGAAACTGAAGGTGAAAAATGCTAGCTCTTCCCACATCTAATGAAGAAGGGCCCCTTCCTTCTTCATAAAGCGCCACCTTGACAATTACTTCCTAGATGGGATTATTACTACAGCCCAGTAAGACAAGCCCATGCTGAGACCTAGCGTTGATGGACTGTTTTCACAAGCCTCCCCTCCTACCCTATTCTGAACTCCTTTTGCTGGACCCTTGAGACTATCCATTCACCAACCACTGTCACTATAAAGAAGTCTCAAGTCATTCCAAGTAATTTCTGAGTAGCAGTGACACAGAATTCTCTGACAAAGGCAAGACCCATTGGGATGAACAAAAAAAAATTCCTTTCTTCACCTATTATTCAGGTAAAAAGGTTTCAGCTTATTCAGACAGACACACGTCTCTATCTAAAGAACTTCAGAGTCTATCAAAGTTGCATGAGCAAAAGGCATGCATACCAGGGCTGTTTCTGTTGATACTGCTACTACCGTAATATGAAATTCATGGCCACTGAGAAAAGTCAGTTGGAATTCACGTCTGTTTCTCTGAACTTCCCTATAGGTGGCCCCATAGTGGATAGAGTGCCAGGCCTGGAGTCAACACAACTGATCTTTCCTGAGTTCAAATCTGGCCTCAAAATACTTACTACCTCTGTGACCCTGGGAAAGTTACTTTACCCTGTTTGCCTCAGTTTCCTCAACTGTAAAATGAGCTGGCGAAGGAAATAACAAACCACTCCAGCATCTCTGCCAAGAAAACTGATTAACAATATTACTATTAAATTACACAATTTTTATGTGTTTGGGAAAGGAGTAACTTTGAAAGTTATTTGAAATGTAAAGACAGGTGTGCATGCATATTACATGTGATTTTAAAGATGCCTAACTGCCTATCAAGAATATCAAGAATCTACTATAAAAAATACACACGTATGCATATGTGTGTACATATGTAAATGCTTAAAAATATTTCACTAATTCATTCAACTAAACCAGTCCATCAGAAATTTTCAACAATTTGAAACACAACCATTTCACGCTACCTTGATTTTATGTCTTTATCTAAATAGGACCATGAATCAGAATCATGTAAATCATGCATCTGCCTATTTTAAGCTCCATCCCCGCCCCCATCTGGGCGAGCAGAACCACCACCATGCCATTGCTACATCCCCTTCTCCTCTCTATGCTGCTCCTTTCCTGCTTAACCAAAACAACTGGGGTGGGGGGCCCGGCGGCAGCTAGGTGGCACAGTGGATAGAGCTCTGGCGGACCTGAGTTCAAATCCCTTTTCAGACACATGACACTTAGTAGCTGTGTGACCCTGGATAAGTCACTTAACCCTGATTACTTCACACACACACACACACACACACACACAAAAAGAACAACTAGGGCTGCTAATAGCCTTCTGGCTCTCAGAAGCTTCCAGGTGAATAAGCAGAATCTGCTTGAACACCAAAGGGTCAAGTGTAAGGAACTGCTAATGGGGAGGGAGAAGTAGCCAGATGTCGTAGGTGGTGCCCCCACCTTCCCCCATGCTCTTTATCTCTATCTCCCTTTGGGCTCCCATGAGCCGTAGCAGCAGGGTTCCCAGCATGGACCTGGCCAGGAGGGAACTGTGGGAGCTTTTACTGAGCTTGGTTAGTAACCCTGGCCAGAGAACCAGACCATGAGCTTGATGTTCTGAACTCCAACCCCTCGGGTGAAGATGAGGCAGCGATCTAGGGCAGGAACACCTGGCTGGTCTTTCTTCTGATGAACCCAACCTCCTTCATTATAAAGACGAGTGGATGGCCACCTTTCAATCACTCTGCAAGTCATCTCCCTCTTCCTCTTCTATCTCACAAACACCTTTATACAAGAGCTTCAACTTCCTCATCCTGAGCATCATCACCAAGAATTCCACTGGGACAAGGGAAAGAAGTGTGAGGAGAAGGGAGATTGTAATGAATTCTTCACTGATCACTGAGTAATTTTCTATGAGTCACTATTTCCTGTTAAGTGGAAATAAAAATTCCAAAGATGAAGGAAGAGGGCTGAAGATGACAACATAGGAAGCAAATGTTTACAAAATGACTCCTGATCACCTTGAACCTTCTCCCTTCTCTTTACATGGTCACACATCTGAATTTCACTCAGATGATTAAGCAAGCAATAAATGGCTATACTATTATAACTACTGAAATGCTCTTGAACCACAACCAAGATTCAATTTGTATTAAAGTACCTGCTGTATATAAAGCAAGCCAAGATGAGAAGGAAGGCAGAAAGCTGGGAAATTTTTTACAGCAAGTTTCTCTGATAAAGGTTTCATTTCTCAAATATATTGAGAAGTGAGTCAAATTCATAAGAATACAAGTCATTTCCCAATTAACAAATGGTCAAAGGATATAAGCAGGGAATCCTCTGAGGAAGAAACTAAGGCTATCTATAGTCATATGAAAAAATGTTCCAAAATCGCTCTTGAGTGGAGAAATTCAATTAAAACAACCCTGAGGCACCACCTCACACCTATCAGACTAGCCAATGACAGAAAAGAAAAACGATAAATGTTGGAGGGGATGTGGGAAAATTGGGACACTAATGCACTGCTGTGAACTGTGAACTGACCCAACCATCCGGCAGAGCAATTTGCAACTATGCCCCTGTAACCCAGCAATACCACCATTAGGTCTACATCCCAAAGAGATTTGAAAAAAAAAAAAGAGGGGGGGGACCTATTTGCACAAAAATATTTATAGCAGCTCTTTTTGTGGTGGCAAAGAATTGGAAATTGAGGGGATGCCCATCGACTGGAGAACAGCTGAACAAGCTGTGGTATATGACTGTGACAGAATACTATCGTGCTCTTTACAAGAAATGATGAGCAGGATGGTTTCAGAAAAACCTGGAAAGACTTCCATGAACTGATGATGCAAAGTGAAGCGAGCAGAACCAGAACAGTGTACACAGTAACAATAACACTGAATGGTGATCAGCTGTGAATGACTCGGCTCTTCTCAGCAATATGGTGACCCAGGCATTGCCAAAGGACTCATGATGAAAAATGCTAATCGCCTCCAGAGAAAAGAACTGTGCAGCCTGCATGCAGATCAAAACACATTGCTTTTTATTTTATTTTGTTGTTGTTGTTGTTGTTTTTTGGGGGGGTCCTGTGTTTTCTTTCAATATATAACCAATATGTAAATGTTTTGCATGATTGTGCATGTATAACCTATATCAAACTGCCTGCCATCTTGGAGAGGGTGAGGGTAAGGTAGGAGGGAGAGAATTTGGAACTTAAAATTTTTTTTTAAAGAATGTTCAAAATTATTTTTACATGTAATTGGCAAAAATATTATTTCAAAAAAGAAAGTCAATGTAGTTCAATTTTCAAAATGCTCTTTTACTTATTCTAGAGCCTAGAACTGTACAACCACCCAAATTTAACAAAAAGTAGTCATGATATCCTAGGTTGGTACTCCAAAGCTAAATACTTTTAGAATAAGGTGGCAGAAGAAAGAAGATACTGAATTTCATTTTATTTTTTGCTCTTAACTTCTTATTCACTAAGAGGAAGAAAACGGGTGAGCATCTAACCTTGGAAATGATGGTGCAGAAAGCTAAATTAGAGTCATGGAGTAGCAGGCACACAAAACCAGTGCTCTCTCCAAGCAATTAATCCTATGCACAGTTCTGGGGTCACAGAATATCCTGACCCATCCTCCCCCCCCAAGATCCCAACTCTCAGATATCCTATCTTTTTGGTTATAGCGATATGATAGAAAGAAAATCATTAATGACTGCCCCTATAGGCAACAATTTAATTACTCTTATGATATTGATAAATATTTTATGTTTCATACCAAAATCTGCTAGCTTTAACTCTCCTTTCTCATTAATGAGGAGGTTCTGCGGTTTCAAGTCCCGATGAAGCACCTTCCTCCTGTGGCAGTAGGCCAAACCACGAAGAATCTGGTATAAAAAAAGCTAAAAAACAAAACAAAACATGCATACATAAACATCCCAGAGAAACAGAAATCAGTTTTATGGGTCAACATACATTCCTTTGATTAAATAAATGAGTAACTTTAAAGCAATCAGATTGTCTTGTATAGGGAAAACCTACATCCGAGGCTGAAAAGCATTTGGCTTTGCCATGTTCTCAACTTCACAGTACTGTTCCTTGTGGTGTAAGAGCTTATTCACAAAAAGACAACATTAGACAACATTCCAAAATACAGCAGTGAATATTTTAAATAACTTAAATGTCTGCTCTTTGTTATGAGATGTAATTTAAAATAACTTAAGCTACACATAATTTAGGTATACCCCCCCCAAATCTGCTTGTGAAACTAAATTTATTAAAAAAGAGACTTAGGATCAAGGATGTAAGGGTTGGGGGACTCTGGGGTCCGACTGGGGGGTTGTGAGAGAGCTCCTAAAAGATCACAAAAATAGAAGCAAGAGAATGATGGAAAATAAGGCATATAATTACAATGTGTAATTATGTTATATAAACGAGCTGAGCTAGTAACATGTAGCTGATGCAACACAGAGCCCCAAAGCTCTATAGTATATAATTATCCTCAAAGGTTGAAAAGTTTTGCAAATGCTCGCTTTAAAATTACTATCCTTACCAACCTTTCTGCTAAGAGAAATAAAGGTTATGGTGCTAGATTCTGCCTCCCCACCCCCTCCCAATTTTCTCTAAGTCCCTGTTGATGGCTTATACAGCAATCCAATGCAACAAACATTTATCACGTATGATGTGCTGGAAGCACAAAGACAAAACAAAAAACAAAATGAAAAGACGCAGCCCTCAAGGAGCATTCAGGGAAATAGAACATGAATACTAGTAAGTGTAGTATAAGGAAAACTGGGGTGGGGGGGAGAAAGAGAAGAGGGAGAGGGACAGGGAGAGACAGACAGAGAGAAGAGGGGAGAGGCGAAGAGAGAGACACACAGAGAGAACGAGAACCTAATAGTGAAGCATTTAGGGGTTAGGGGAGGGTAAGAGAGGAACAAAAGTTTCATGGAAAAGGTGATTTCTGATTTGGGCCTTAATTAACGAAAGACCAAGACTTTGACAGGTTGAGTAGAGGACATTTCCAGGGGCAGACAAGGATGTGAACACAGCAAGAGGGGAGTATTGAGTTCAGGGAAGGGAACGGCAGCGTTCAAGAGGCTGGAAAGGCAGGGCAGGAAGGAGGCAGCTTGTGGAAAGCCTCCAGTTGCAGTCTGGGAGTTTGTATTTTATTCTTTGGAAATGGGGAAGCACGGAAGAGTTTTCAGCAGGGGAGCGACGTGGCCCAATCTGTGCCTTAAGGGAACGGCAGCTCTGTGAAGAACAAATGGGAGATGGGAAAAGACGAGAGGTAGGTAGAGAGAGCAATCAGGAAGCTACTCCAGTAGTGTGGAGAAGATGATGAGAGCCTGACCTAATGAACAGCTGAGACAAGTGAGGTCGTGAAGCACCGAATGAGAAGAGGACTCCCCCCAGTCACAAAGCTTAACTGACCGAGGGTGATAGTGCCTGTGATGGAAATAAGGAAGCCTAAGAGGAGGAATAATTAATGGCTCTGTTCTGTTTGTAGAATTTTTAAGGTGAAAACAGAAGGAAAGTAAAAACCACAAATCTCAATCACGACCCAAACAAAACCCACAGGGAAGAGGGAAACAATTCTGTTGGAATGCACAGGAAGCCCAGCTGCCTCTGGATGCTCACCAGACCCCACTGCCTGCCACTGTATGTTCTGAGCTATCTTTTACTAGCTCAGATTGGTTTTATTTTGCAAATATTATTTTTTGTTAAATTTACTAATAAAAATAGCAAATGAAGAATCAATTTAAAGTTCCCGCCTGAAAAACTGAGAATGAGTCAAATACAGACATGGTACCACCTATTTGCACAAGGGCCTCGTAACAAACAGTGGCTGAATGGTCTTGGGTGGGCCCATACACATTTTAAGGAACTTTGATCCAAGGTTTTTTTTTTTGAAGAATAACCACTTTCTTTCACTCACTTCACCATTCTTTCCTGAGTTTTGCACTCCCTTAGCACTGTACCAAATATGACATCACACAGGGTTCCTTTCATCCTCAGATTTACAGATGACAAAACTAAGGTGGGGGGTGGTTAAGTGACATTTCCCACTGACTATGTACAGACTGGAGGTGACACTGGAATGAAACACCTTGTGTGCTGATCTTACCACTGTCGCTATCCTTATGTAATAGATCCCATCCTGAAAAACGTGTCTGATTCTGTGGGGGTAACAATCACTTTTTACTGCTGTAGGGACGCTCACCACTTAAAGGAACCCTTCAGTGAAATTCACCAGGGCTGGTTTTCTTTTATGTGTTTATTTTTAAGGTCCATTTCACAGGGTGGCAGCCATACCAAGGAGAAGAGAACTTCCTTTCTAACAGCTTGGCAATGTTCCTGTGGGCTTGCCGCACTCACCTTCACATTGTGCATACTCATGATGTTGCCACAGTCGTCCATGTACTGTTTTAAATCTTTGTCCTACAAGAACACAGCAGCAGAACTTAGTACGTGACACAAAATGTTCAAAATCCAAGTTCTTTCCAATTATTCAATTTCAAATAGAATAAGCTATTCTTCAGGCAAGGCTACCAAAGCTGGGGCTCAGATTTCCCAGAAGCTCAGCATCTGGAAAGGCAAGTGTTTCTGGAAGCTACATCACCACACTCATGTCCCACTGGAATCAGGGGCTCCTCTACCTAGGGCTCTAGACTCCAATTCTAACCCCAACCAGCACCCTGTCAAACTTCGGAAAGTCGGCATTTCTGCTCCTTCAGGTCATGGCCCAGTGTTCTATGGGTCTCTGTATTCCTAGTGACTCGCACACCAGGTGCTCAGTAACTACTGTAGAAGTGAATTATTCCAAGCTCTCCAGTTCAAAATGGCCCAGCAGGCCACCTAACTCTAGTGCATGCCTGCATGACATATGGCCCCGGGGCCAGGTAAGGCCTGCCAAAGTGGCCCTCAGGCGGCAAGTTGTACAGGCCTATTTAAATCCTCTACATTTTCTGAGGGCCACCAGAAATCCTTTTGCAGGCCTGCTCTAGCCCTGTGGTCCTGGCTCTTCCTTTCCTAGTAACTTACTGACTCAGGGGCCTTGCTTGAGCCCTAGGCTAAGTCACCCTGTCATACTTCCTTCTTGTTTGGTAACCCACAGTTGGATTTTCTGCTGCCTACATCCTTGATTATCTCTGACTATCCCTTTAACACTCTGGCTTTTCTGGGTCCTCGCCTCTGCTTCTCTGAAGTGACAAATAGCCCTCCTTCCTCACACCACCTAGAGGAGACTTTCCAGGTGGGCTGGGGCATGTGTATCTAGCTGCTCACCAGAACAATCAGTCTTTTTTCTTTCCCCACCTCTACTCCTCTAGGGCAGCTCTGCTGACCATTCCTCTGCCTCCTGCCTCAGCTTCTCCTTCAGCCTCCTCTGTCACATTCTAAGGCTCCTCTTCCTCTCACCCCTAAACCTAAGTACTAGGAAGGCCAGTTCTTGGCTCTGTTCTGTTTTCAGAATGGAAATTCCTCAGAATTTCTCAGTTGCCCCCATGGCTTAAACTATCGATTCAATTCAATAAACATTTATTCCCAGCCTCCTTATGTGAGCGCTACACTTACAAAGACAGAATCAAAATACAACAGTCCCTGTCCTCAGTGAACTTAAATTCTACTCAGAGAATGAGCATTTTATACAAACAGAGGACTCAAAAACCTTCACCTTTAGACTTGATCTTTCTCAAATACTTCTTTTTTTGGGGGGTGGAGGGTAAGGCAATTGAGGTTAAGTGACTTGCCCAAGGTCACATAGCTGGTAAGTGTCATGTGTCTGAGAACGCATCTGAACTCAGGTCCTCCTGATTCCAAGGCCACAGCTTTATCCACTGTGCCACCTAGCTGCCCCTCAAATACTCTTAAATTTAACCTGTTCTAAAACTGAACTCATCATTTTTTTCCAAAGGCCACATTTCTATCTGATTGTCCCTAATCCTATCAGTTTCCCTCTGATTCAGGTTCACTCTTTTCTGATTCCTCACTTGCTAGCATTCCACCTCTCAAGTCGGTATGCATTCACTAAGAGCCCCAGGGTCCAGCCTTCCTCTACCCACTTTCCACTGCGGCCGTTCAGGTGAACACTGCTTCTCAGCCTGGCAGAACACCCTGCTGCATGTCTCTGCTTTAACCCACCTTCTGCCAGCCTCATCTTCCTAAAGCAAAACTGGGATTGTTCAAAAACTCAAATGGCTCTGCATTCCCTTGGCTTGAACCTAAAGCCTTCCACAGTCTAGCCCCGACTCACTTTTCAGACTCATCCCCCACTCTTTCCTTCACAAGGCCTCATCCTAGAGCCAAATACACATTGGGCTTTTCTAGCCTCGATGCATTTTTTCATGATAGTCCCTCTTACATAGATGCCATCAGAATCCTGCCCATCTTGATATGGCCTAGCTAAAATCCCAACCAGAAGTCATCTTCGCTATGCTTCCAAGCACTGTGTTTTTACGAACTCTCGTGGCTATTCACCATCTCTCCCTTATAGCTAAGAATTATTCGGATAAAGACATACTCTTTCCCCAAGGAAGCAGGTATTGTGCCCCATTTATATTTGCACCCCCTGTTCCCCAGGATGGACTGAAATGTTAGATGATGATGTCCTTTGTCATACATACACTTAGTAGTAGGATAAAAGCTGCACACTGAGTGGGCTAAACATATTCAAATTTAATTCAGTTTTAGGTTGTGAGGCTACAGATTCTCTTAAATAAATACCATTGCATTTCTATGGCTGAAATAGATACATGTCAGAGGTCACTATGAAAAGCTCACTAACGACCCATAACACAAGCAGGAAGGTACTCATGTACCAACGACCCTCAATCTTGTGCCTTTTTTGTCACAAAGCTAATGCAGAACTTTTCATTTCAGGCAAAATGGCACTTATCAACATTTTGCTTCTACCATTTCACTGAAAATGATCATTCGCGTGCTGAAGATAAATGGATATATGAATACTTTCACTGCACACACTGGATATAATATTCTAGATAAGGCCTGGCCAGGAGACAGCAGGAGGGCGAGGCTATCACACATTCCTTATTCTTTTTCTTTTTCTTTTTTTTGGCTAGGCAATGGGGTTAAGTGACTTGCCCAGGGTCACACAGGTAGTAAGTGTCAAGTGTTTGGTCTGAGGCTGGATTTGCACTCAGGTCCTCTTGACTTCAGGGCCGGTGCTCTATCCATATCTTAGTATATCTCAGGATGTCTACTAAGGTTACCGACGGCTTGTGCCCTTCCCCAGTGGGAAGACGACGCTCCTATGAGGACAACCACAGCCCATGCTCGCCACTGAACTGAGCTGAAGTCCCAGAGAAGCCTCCTGTAGACAGCAGTGTGTGTGCACAATTTCTTGTTTTGGAAAGGACAATTGTTGTGCCCTCTGATTTAGCTGTAACTGGACAAGCCAAAAAATGAAAAGAAAAAGAAAACTGGCCATTGCGAGTGCCGGACCACAGCACCAGTCCCTACACTTCCCAATGCAGTCAAACGTCTACAACAAAGATCGAACCGTAGCTGGGGCAGCGTGTGAAGCTGCAAGGACCATGTGACTTTAGACCTGCTGGAGGGCTTTGGAAGCCTCCATTCTGAACCCCTCACAGTAATACTAGGCAAGGAAAGTGATCTCCATGAGTTCTGCTCTTCTACCAAGGGACCTGTCCAAGGGTCCTAAGAAGCAAAGCCAGGATTAGAACCCTGGTGCTCAGTGGACTGTAACTCAGTCATCTTTCCAGTATTCATGCTATGACAGAAAGTGGGCAATTCTTTCCTGGAAACTAGTAACATGGAAAGGAGTTAAAACACTTGTACAAAAGCCCCATTCCCACAAACCCATGCGTATACACATAATGGCATGGAAACACAGCAAAGGTTCCTAGAATTTCCATTTCTAACCATTTAAAAAAAATACCTGAAATACCATTGTGAGGCTAATGCTTACCAAATACTCAAAGACTAGAGCTAATTTTTGTTTTTACCTCTTGTGGTGCTGTCCATTTCTCCCTTGCTGTTAAGAGTTATTTGGATAAACACATGCTCTTTCCTCGAGGGAGGGTGGGTATTCTGTCTTATTCATATTTGTACACCCTGCTCCCCAGGATGGACTGAATGAAATGTTTGATGACAACGTGCAGGAGCTTCTTTTCCTATGTGATACATTTAGTAGTAGAATAAAAGCTGAATTAAAGTAGAATAAAATAAAAAAATAGTGCTTACCAAGTACTCAAAGACTAGAGTCAAGGATTTATCTGTGTGAACGATGTCATGTAATGTAACAATGTTGGCATGCTTTAGGTCCTTTAATAATGAAACTAAGAAAAAAATAAAGAAAATGAATTAAAATCTACGTAGGATTAAATTTTTCAAAAAATTAACAATATGCTATCAAAATCCGACTTAAAATAGAATTTATTGGAGGTGAATACAGCCTGTTTAAAAAAAAAAAGGTACCTTCACCTAAACAGTAAGATTTTGACTTCAAAACACTACAATCCCATATTCAAGAGTGCTTTGGTACAGTCACAGAATGAACTTGCGAACTACACTGTCATAAGATTTAATAAAATAATAAAATATATTTATTTAGACATTTGTTTTCAGAAATAATTTTTTAAAGGCCTGGAATATGACTTTTAAGTCGTTTCCTCTTTTTGCATCTTTTCATTCTCAAAATATGAAATCTGTCTGTTGTGAAGCTGCAGGAGCCCAGTTCTAAGAAGCATTCCCAAGGATTCATTTCTCACGACAAAGAACGCCATCTTACCTTCTCTTATGGCTGTACATGGAGCTCCCTCTTCATGCTCCAAGCGGATCTCCTTTAATGCTACCAAGTTCTCCGTCAATTTGCTTCTTCCTTTATATACAGTTGCATAGGTCCCCTAGGATCACATTCAAAAAGAAAATCTGTGAAATTGTATCCGTGCCATACAGAATGGAAAAGGCCTCTAAGGGTATTTCTAGGCTAGATTTCATTCTTCACAGAAAATACCAGTATGATCACCCTTTGTTTTCCTAATGAGCCAACGAGATGTGTTAAGTCCCAGCTGCAGTGCTTCTGTACCCTCCTAATTCTATGTTAATTGTCCATTTAAATCAAACACATGCTACATGAGCTTTTTAATTTTTAGTTTCTGGCTCTCTTAAGGTGTTACCACCAACTAAATGCTCACTTTTCTTAGATTACTTGCCATGAGAGGTCAGGTTTTTCTGAAATTGGCCAGTCATGGCGGAAAGTTCCAGGTCACCATGGTCAGGATTTATGTTTTCTAATTTCAATAATAGTTGGTTACTTTGTTTATGTCCTAATGACATGTGCTTTTATTATTTAGGACACCACCTTAAATCTCAAGGCTTTAGAGTCATACTATTTGCTATTCCTCATATGCTGGCATACAAATACTTTCATTAGAATTTCTAATTCAACTAATAAAAAAATTTTATATCTAAGTCAGCAGTATTTTGAAATTTCAGTAAAGACTGTTATGAGAATGCCAATCATTACCTCATTCTGGGGTCTATTTTTCAACATTATAAATTTCTTCTCTTTAAGTAAAAACAATTTCACATTTATGTATCACAAAGCATCTATCATCTACTGATGACAGATGCTTTGTGATACACAAGAGATACATGAAAGACAATGTTAATTCTTTTTAAAAAGAGGGATTTTTTTAGGGTGATAAAAACAGAATGCTAATAGGTTTTTTCTTTTACAACGTACAGGGTATGGCTAAATAGACTAGTGTACTCATCAATGTGATGAATACTACACCACAAAGGATGAAAAATGTGAGGAATATACAGAAATATATGGACCTAAACAGAATAATGCAAAGCAAAAAGAAAAGATGAACTAGGAATAATACATATTGTCTACGACTATTTTTTGCAAAATCTGTCTAAGTACACATGTAGAAACGAGGAATCTTGAGAATCAGGAGGGGGTACAAAGTGACTTAATACAGCTAAGTTATCTGATACTTGTATGGTAAAGTATGCTTTTTATTGCAAAAAACAGAGAAAAGAAGAAAGTTGTATGCTAATTCCTTACCTCTCCGAGCTTTTCCAATTTAATATAGGTCTCCATTTTCCCAAATCCAATCTCCGACTACAATTAAAGCAGAAACATGAATTTCAATATTTCCTCTTAAAACACGATATTCTTTGCTGCCTCTGATAATCTGTTATGCCGCCAACGAGCACAGCACTCTAGTCCGATGTAATTTGCTGGGCAGCTATTTACAAGGTTAAATTCAACAGGCATGGAAACATCAAAAAGGTCGAATCAGATTAAATCACTGTTAAAACTGTCACCCCACATTGCATATAAAATGGTGCCTAAACAACATTCTTCAGTCAATTCAAAATTATTGACTCTTTCAAGATGCTGCTGTTTGGAGAAATGCAAATGGTCTTCAAAATAACGAGGTCTTTGCAAAGACAAATGCCTGAGCCTGCTGTTCTGACTACAATGCAGGAGCACAAGGAAAGCACTCCCCCCTGCCCACTACTCCTTACTGTTCATGAGAGGGCAATTTCTGGCAACAAGAAGGAAGAGCTACAATGTCGATACTGACAGCTATGGAGCACACCCACTACTGAAGATCATCCTTTGGTGCTGCTCAGGAAAGAGCACGTAAAGAATGTGAGTCTAATTCTAGGAAAAACATATGCAGGAATTGGATGGAAGAATCCACAAGCTTTTAAAAACCCGTTACTTTTTTTCCCATTCTTTTACGTGGCCCAATTTTTTCACGTATGTGGATCTAGGAAAGGGGGTACCTAGATACACACTTGTTGGTCAAGTATATATAACAGGCTAGATATCTGCTACGTGGAGGAACTCAAAGCAGCTGACGTGGAAAGCTTCAAGCACAGAAAGAAAGAAGGCTGGAAGAGCTGGGAAGTCCTACAGAAAGTGTGGGAAGAGAAAAAATGTGGATAAACAGAGGAAAGGAAAAAGACACCATACCCTAATGGCAACATGCCATTACCCAGGAATGGCAATAATTCTATTTTCCCAGGGAAAGGTATGGATGATGGGGGGCAGCGAGGGAGGGTAAGAGATTTCCTGAAACCTGACCAGGGAGGAGGACTTTCAACAGCCTTCTAGCAACTGCTCTTGGTTAACAAAAGAGGCACTGGTGGTGATCTATGAAGAAAGCCCATTAGACAGCTTTATTGTGTTGCTTCTTTTATATAAAAATAAAGGAGCCAGGGAGGAAATAACTGCTCCCTAAACTGCAATCTTGTTTCTCAAAGGAATATAAACCAGGTCAGGGTGTCGAGGTCATCATTTACAATCTCTTTGGTTCTCTAGAGATGAAAAAAAATCACTTTATCTAATGGTCAGGAATGATATTGCATCATCTTTGGAAGATGAAGCATTTTTTCCTGGATAACCAATATAATGCTATACACAGAACATTTCTTTATTCTCATACCAGCCTCCTGCACTCTCTCAGCGGAGGACTTCATCTCAGACTTTCCTGACAAAAGAGAAGACATAGGCTATAAGGGCGCTCTTCACCCCTACTTTCTACATCTCAAAAGCCCTGAACATCACCTCCTTCTGTCCTTGTGTCTGGTCTCTGATGGAGAGGAGGCCTTTTTCCTCACCAAAGACTTATGCTCTACTGGGCTGCTTCTCTCATTCCCTCTCAATGTTTCTAGCTGACTGTCTCCACAAATCATCCTCTTGCCCCACACTGTCGATCTCTCCCTAGCCACAATAGCTCATGCCTGATGCCTACAGACATATGCCAGTGCCATCCCCCCAATGACCCTGCCTCTCCACACTCATCCAATGGCTCTCCTCCATCTTACTGCTTACCTCAGCTTTCCTTTCACTCACTTCTCAGCCCCTTGAAAATCTGGTTTTCAGTATCTTCCTTCCACTGAAACTGCTCTCTACAAAGCTACCATCATTGGCAGCTCAACTGTCACAGCCACTGGCTTTTTCTCAAGCCTTATTCTCTGCCCCTGGTAGAGCAGTACCCTCTGCCACTGGGACACTCCCTCCCCTCTCAGACCTCTGGACCAATACCATTGGTGGCCTGAATTCAATAAATATACCTCTCTTCAAATAATCATTAAAAAGTATCTGCCTTCCTCTTTGGCACAGCAATACAGAGTACTGAAAAAAATGACATGGTTATGGGTCTTTCCAGGGTCACAAAGCATATAAACAGGGTATCGAGAAATGCCCCATGCTAGAAAAAGTTATCTTGCTTTTCATCAAATTTCAATCCTACTGCAAACAGCCCTTTGGCATGAGGTTCAATGTCTTTCCTTTACAAAACTGTCATAATGGGGCATATTTGTTGCAGAAAAAAAAACCGTTCACAGTCTAATTTAACGTTTATATGTTTATACATCCACTTAGAGAAATAGAATGTGAACGCACAACACAAAAATGACTTTTGCAAAATTTCAAATTAGAAAATAATTTCCAATACTACTGACTTTCTAATTACAGCATTTTTTAACTGCTAATATGGCTGTCAATCATGCTTCAACCCCACTGAAAACCACACCACATACTCCATCACTCTTCTATGGCAAAATCTTGTGAATCATAAATACAAACAGTGCATTTGTTTTACCCTTAGAAAAATAAACTGCCACAAGCCAATTTGTCCAATAATAAATCTATTAACTGTGGATTAGTGCTGTACACAGCGTTAGATGGCTTGGATCCTTTCCCTACAGAAACAGTAACTCTGCTAATCAATAAAATGAAATTAGATGTAATAGATAACTCCTTCCCCTCGTGGCAAACGTTTTTTCATTTCAGCTGACACAAACAGCATGAAATGCAGCCTACCATGCAGGTGAGTCATGCAGTCTGATTTGGAATAGCTCTTGTGCATGGGTGAATATTTTGTGTATATTCTATAGATGTATACAAACATATCCTGACTCCGATTTGTTGGTAATTTTATGCAGCAAGCATGCCATTTTAAAAAATTCTGTACCTAAGCCACAGATGGGAGCTGTGATTATCCTGAGTCTATCTGTCTAATACCTATCACTACAGAATGCAGGTGCCTGACTTCACACATGTGTGTGCACTCTTAATTTTCCCAGAATACAAAAAAAGGCCTTGTGAGTTGCTTTCAATAAATGTACTAAAAATGAACTGGGAAACAGCAGAAAGCAACAAGTTATCAGTAGAAAACTGGCCAGATTTGATCACTTAATATGAGAAAAACAGGAAAGAATAAAGCCTTCTTGGTAACCAGAAGCTTAGAGACTTTTCTGGGCAAGTTCTTTGAATAACTATGTACTTAAAATATCACAGGCCCTCAGTCTAATACAAACTGCCTGATTAAATGCTGGAGTCTGCCTTAAAAAATACACACACACACACACATATAGATTTTCAGAATTTTCTTATCTATAAAGGTTAAAATGTCACTGATGCCTAATGACAAATATATCCAACAAGTGAATACGTAGAGTTTCTCTGCTAACCAGAAGAACTACATTGAAATACTCAAAATAACAAAGAAGAGTCAGTCCTGTTTCCAGCCCCCTCATGGTGGAATTCAGTGACATCATTAGAAATTGGCTGACAAGCTACAAAAATGGAGAGTAAACACTGTACTGTAATCGTAATCCTGAATTTAGATTTGAACAGTGGGTTATTAAATGAAGTGAGTGGCACTTTCACATACCTCCTCCCAGACCACAAAATAGGAAAGACAAAGAGTCCTGCAGGTTTATAAAACCCAGCAACACAACTGAGTTAGCTGCCAGACTTCATTTAAGCCTGTATCTGGGTGAAAAACCTTCCCATCTTCAAAAGTTTAATAAACCAATGCATCTATGAAAGCCTAAAATGCGAATCTGGTGAGTGTGGGTATTCTCTGCATGTTATCTGTTCAACAGGACAAAGCCAACAAGGAGAGGTGGAACATCCAACTTGCCAACATTCTCTCCTTAGAATATTCACTCAGGAGACAGAAGACAAAGCTAAAGAAACAGCCTTCTTAATGAGTACTAAACAGGAGCGCTGCTGGGCGCAGCTGCAGGTCTGCCCAACCTGACAGAAGCCGCTCCATGCATCCCTTGTGCCTGTACGTCTCATTAAAACTATTCCCGAACCCCCAAACACGATCCCAGCTCAGCACCATTAGCCTTCTTGTGGCTCAGTCCAACGTGTTTTGTTAAGTGAAAAACAGGGGAGAGCTCTTGATTTCATGGGGGACCTACACCCACACAGCTGAAATGGTTCCTCTAAAGAAAGAACTTTAGTATGATACCATAGTTGTGAACACAGATGAACATGATTATGTGATTTAAAATGAGTTCAGAGAGACAGTTTTCCAAAACAAGTTAAGTAGAAGCACTCTATGACCTTCTTGGAGCAATGACCAAAGCTGTCGACAGTTGTCACTGTCCCTTCCCCAATTCTGTGCACTCAGTGGGAAAAGCAAGCGTTAAGCAACTCCTGCATTTGGTATTTCATTCTCATGTCAGAAATGTGGTGGTATATTTATGTATTATGGGAGGAATATTGCTATTAGACACTTCCTCCTTCTCCATGGAAAATCAAAGGAAGGAACTAGCTATAAGAGTGTGCTTCTTCTTTTAAGTAACAAGGAAAATGGCTACAGGTATTGAAAACACAATCATTCTTGGTCCATAGCAGTTATTGCCACAGTGAAGTATACAAGATAATCCACTGGACTCTGGGAAGAAAACATTAGAATTTCTATTTTGACATATTTTTATCTTAAAATAGAAATTAAGTTGTATGAATAAAATTCAATAGATTGATACTGGTGCCCTCACTTGTTCTATTAATCAAATGGATATATGTCACATCTGGTATGTGACAAGTCCTGAGGGAAGAGTTGGAACGGTACCATCCTGCGGGGTGGATGATGGCACATCACTACGAAAGTTTACCCGTGTCAAGTCAATTTATGGATAACTAGTTTTAACTGAACTAACCCTCCCAAAGGGGAGACATGGCTTAAAAAGATTCTTGCAAAGAAACCACGGATTGGAGATAATGTGAATAAAGTGAATTTCAGCAAACAAAAAGGAAAATGACAATATCTGACGCCTCTCCTAGTATGGATTTTTTGCCAACCATGT